GAGTGAGAAGGCGGAAGATTTGAGTGCCATCAAGTATTTCTCCACATTACTTATCTTCATAGCATCTCTTCAAATTAGTGCCTTCTTGAAGATGAATACCTGTCTTCAGCATTTATCCAGTCTCCCTTCTACTTCAACCAATGCCTACGCTGCCATTTTTACTGTCGTGGAGAGCTGAAGACACATGCAAAATGAGCTGCATCAGAGAGGCCTAGCCTTCATTCAGTTCCAGTTCTCTGCACTGAGGAGAGGCACAGCTACATTAGTGCTGGGAGAAAGAGACCACTGCAGGAGATGAGAAGTTCTCTTAATAGTAAAGCAGGCCATTCCAAACACCTATGATTCCCATGTTTTTATGTACTGCCTCAAGAGGAGGTCCAGGCAGATACATTCAGCTGGCTTCACAAACCTCTACCTGGGTGTTTCTAAGTCCCCTCTCATTCATACTTCATTAACAGAACCAGTCAAGACATGGAAGAGTTCTAAAAACATTTGGATCTAGGTGAAAGCTATTAGGTAGTTCTTTGTACTAGTCAACTAACTTTGCCTAAAATTATTTCAACATAAAAATAAAAACCAAAGAAAACCTCTATTTCCACCCTTCAAAATTCTCTGCCTTTATCAGACTTACCATGTCACTGACTAATGCCAAAAATTCCAGGGTCATAATATCGCTGTTATTGTATTTTTAAAATGAAATGCTGATACGTTAAAAAAAATGTATATAGTAAATACATATGTTACAAAAAATAGTCACAGGAAATCCCTTGAAGCTTTTTCACCTATGAGCAGTTCTTGGCAGTTTCCTTTCCTTTGCTCTCTTGGGTCAATTACTCAACTAGCCCCACTGAATCCACCTACAAATGGGGAGGAGCCAGCTTCTCCCCAACCCTGCTGCTACGCTCTCAGGCCAGGTATTGCCACCTCTTCCCTAGATGCTACCACAGCCTGCTGCCTGCTTCCGTCTGTGCCCTTCCATCTTCACAGAGTGAGCTGTGAAAAGCACACCACAAACGTACTCAATGAAAATCAAACCCCCTTCACAGTGGAAGCGCTGTGTGCTCTGCCAAACTTAACTTGCACGTCAGTACACCTCGGTTACCTCCTCCCAGCCCAGTAGGTGACTTTCCATTCCCAGAATGTGCCATGCCTGCTCCATTCTCACAGTAACCCAAGTGGTGTTTGTATCTGGAAGCTCTTCCCCACCACTCTTACATGTCTGCTGACTTTCTTTTCTTCAGGAATTGGCTTAAATCTCATCCCTGCATTGTCACCTGACCAACTCTTCTAGAGTAATTCCCCACTGCTCCCTACTTTACACCATGTTCTTTTTCTTCTCAGTACTTACCACTGTTTGTGTTTACACAGTTATATCTATGTAGCTTGTTTGTAGAAGGCTGTCATCTATTAGACTAAGGAGTCTACAGTGGCAGGGATTATGTTAGGTATTTGGCCTACTACCTAAATGTACAGTTTTTTGTTTTTGTTTTTTTTATATTGCATAGGACACAAGAGGCCTTCCACAATTATTTGTGAAGTAAAGGGGAGGCAGTGGAGGAAAAAAATCACATAAAGGACTCTTTGTGACACAGCAGAAACGTGTTAAGCACCTATCACCTCAGGCCTAGCCTGCAATTGTCCTGGTAAGCCTCCCTGTACAAGGTCTCTCCTTCTGGAGCACCACCCCTGAATCTCCTGTCACCTGTCAAGCCAGCTCCCCTAAGATGTGCAGAACCATAGGCGCCCAATGCCCCCCCGACAGCAGCTAGATTTAGGAAACTACTAGACCATCCAGAATTGCATGGCTGGGAGGTTTGCCCACATGGGACTTAAGTTCCAGAGAGGATGAGACACAGACCTAAGCCAGAACCACAAAGATGGGAAGAGACCTTAGGAGGCTGGATCAACCAGGGGGAACAGAAACCATGTTGGGTGAATACAAAGTGCTTGTGTTGCTGGGGACCTTCCAGGTAAGGTTTGGTTTAGTGACCTGTGCTCATGGTTAGAAGGGAGGTTTTCACTGTAGAGAATGAAAGGAATGACATGAATATGGAAAAGAAAAAATATTAATGTTGAGCCATCAGGCTAACATAGGAGTCCAGGAAAGGGGGACAAAGAGTCAGTGGAGACTCTAGTCTATGTTGTGGCAAACAGACGGTCATCACCAAAGATGGGGCCAGGTGCAGGCTTCACAGCTGAAGACTGCCAGGTTGCTCCGAAGCCACTTTCATGAGAGCAGAAAACAAAGGCGGGGAGAACACCCAAAGTTCTCCTTATAAAGCCAGTACACTCTGATACAAAAGTGTCCAAAACTAACAAACAAAAAGAAGAAAACCACCCACATCCCCAACCTAATTTATGAATATTGATGCAAAAACCCTAAAAAAATAAGGTAACAGACACCAGCAACACATTACAACAAGGGCACTTCTATGATTATGTCACTGTTAATTGTTCAAATGAGAAAATCCCCATGGTTGCTTTGGAGGGGGGAAATTGGGGCTATTACTAATTTTCATTTACTAGAAAGGGTGAGGTGACTATTTCTTTATCCAGATAAAAACTGATTTGAATCACAGAATCCAGCAGCATGCTTGTCAAAACCTAGAGACTTGCCCTTTTAAGTCTAAGACCGGATACTCAAATCATCACACTCTCAGCCCAGTGTTTTGGAAGTACCAGATATGATGAATGCAATTACATGATCGTGCAAATGAAGTAAAATAGTACAACTGCCTCCTCCTTTATACTTGCCAGTAAGATGACTTTGTACTGAGAAAATTAGTGAGACTCTAACAAAACTGTTACAAATAATAAGAGAATTTAGCAGCATGACAGGTTCATCTGCAACAACTAAGGAAGACTGCAAGGGATGATTAACCTGAGCAGATTAACAGCAACTACAGTGAACTCCCAGCAGCACTTGGAAGGCCTGACTAGCACAGTGAGGTAAGCACATCCCTCTGTACACCTGTGCCAAAACTCAACTGAGACCAGTTCTGCATCAAGGAATGTCTGAGTCCAGTGAAATGTTAAGACACATTCTAACAAGATTTTCTTAATGAATCCTGACAAGCTGATGGTGAGTGTTCATTTGGTTGAGAACAGATGTGTTGTTTTGTTTTTTTTAAATAATGAGAGGAACTACCATTTATCCAAGTTTGTTGTAAAGTTACAATAAGTACAGCAATATGGTGTTTACTCAGACACTGACAGAGACCATGGGAGCATAAGGGGCCAAGAAGGCTTGCACATGGTGATGACTATGGGAGTTAAGTCTGTGATAAAGATGGCTTTTCCAATAATGAGAAGAACCAAGTCAGAAAACGGTGTTGAAAAAACTTGTGCCCCACATCATATACACAAGGAAACCCAGTTATAGGAAACAGCTAACCACCCCCCCACAAAAATACCAGAATTGACAAAAGTATTTGTACAACCTGCCTATGTATGACATGAAACCTAGAATAGGAGTAAAGACAGATTTGAAAGAAAAAATATCTGAAATCATAAACTTCTTTATGGAGACTAAATAAAGGTAAAAGATAAATGTTGGGGCTATCTGGTGGCGCAGTGGTTGAGAATCTCCCTGCTAGTGCAGGGGACACGGGTTTGAGCCCTGGTCCGGGAAGATCCCACATGCTGCGGGGCAACTAGGCCCGTGAGCCAACAGCTACTGAGCCTGCGCAGCTACTAAGCCTGCACATCTGGAGCCTGTGCTCCACAACAAGAGGCCGCGATAGTGAGACGCCCGCACACTGCGATGAAGAGTGGCCCCCGCTTGCCACAACTAGAGAAAGCCCTCGCACAGAAATGAAGACCCAACACAGCCAAAAATAAATAAATAAATAAATAAAAAAGGCCAAGCATTTGAAGCTCTTAAAAAAAAAAAAAAAGATAAATGTTGGACTGGTATTTGCAGTATTAACATCCATAACATATAGTATATAGAGTCCTGACCACACACACAAAAGACAAACCAAATGGGAAAAGGGAAAATACATAAAGTAACAAAAGCAAAAATACAAATGATCTGTAAACTTATGAAAATACGTGCAACTTCATGAGGGAAATATGAACTAAACTGAACATATCTTTCCCCATCAGATCTGAAAATCTTAAAAGAGGACTATAAATCGCTGGTATCTTATGAAATGGAAAAGGAGCTCTCATGTTCTTGAGCAGCTATATGTATTTTAAAAGATCTTAGCAGTTTGTTGCTACCAGATTTTTTCACTTACATCTTGGTTGATTCTAAGTTCCATTTCTAGAAATCTTTACCTACAAAAAACCAACTTGAGTGCAAAAAAAAGTATGCGAGAAAGCTTTTTGCAACAACTTGAATGTCCATCAAGAGTAAAAAAAAAATCAGGGCATCCCTGGTGGTGCAGTGGTTAAGAGTCCGCCTGCTGATGCAGGGGACATGGGTTCGTGCCCTGGTCCGGGAAGATCCCACATGCCGCGGAGCGGCTGGGCCCGTGAGCCATGGCCGCTGAGCCTGCGCGTCCGGAGCATGTGCTCCACAACGGGAGAGGCCACGACAGTAAGAGGCCCGCGTACCGCAAAAAAACAAAAGTAAATCAAATGTGGACTACACTGCGTTTGTTAATATGAATGATGCAGACCTGTCTACACTGAGTATGGAAACACCTCCCAAAACAAACATATAAACATAAATGTAAACGTCTCTAAAAAAATCTAGCCAGAGACACACACCAGTTACTGGAGATTACAGGATGGAAGGGCAGTTAGACAATGAGTGAAGCAGGGTGAGGGAGCCCCTGTTGCCAATGTGGCACCAGCAACAGGTTCACGTTCAACCAAGCAGTACACCCCTGATTCTGAAGCCAGTGGAAAATGCAGGGCTTGATTCAGCATGTCTGCAGCTACTCATCACAACACCCCACTGGGGGTTTTCCCCATCCACCTCCTTTTCTAAGACATTAGTTCCTCACTAACCAGGACTCCCGTGCCAGGACTCCCATGTGCCTGGTTCTCACCTGAAAAGGTGTCTCGAGGAATTCCTCTCTCCACCGACCAGAGCTCTTCCTCCTCCTCTAACTGAGATACCACATCTGGCTTGGAAAGCTGATGTTCTGCCCAAGGGAAAAGAGACAGTGCTTGGGGCGGGGGTCTGTGTTTGGGAGAAAATACTTTCCTGCTGTAGCAATTCTGTCCCTGTGTTCTCCCCTGCTAGGGCATGACTTCTGGTCTAGGGCAGTGTTAATAACCCCACCCATCCCATTTGCCAGCTGCTTGCTTTTCTGGACTCCTTTGCCAGTAAAGGAGGCACTGAGACCTGGTTTTGGCCAGCAAGACACAAAGGGAAGTTTGTCAGTTGGGGGCCTAAGGCATTTTCTTTTCTTTGTTAAGTGTGACAGCTGTAGAAGGAGAACTAGCCAGGGTTGCCGTCTCTCCTTCTTTCTGCCTTGAACATGGACATGATGCTTGGGATCACGGCCATGCATATACTAACCTAAGAATGGAAAACTTCACACTAACCATGGAGAGATGGAAAGGATCAAGGTCTCTGATGATACTCCTGAGCTGTCAGACACAGACACCACATCCTGAAATTCTTGTTACAAACACAGTAAACATCCACTGCGGCAGCTGGAAACATCCCTGATAGACCCACCTCCCTGGTATTCAACGCCTCTGACGGATGGACTAGGTAAAGCTTCAGAAGTTATATGTGAAATTACCCTTTTCAAATGGGTACAAAGTAAAGCCCTCTCCCTCAGGCTCCAGAGCCTTGACACTTGAACTCAGATCCCTGCAGGCTGAGCCGAAGCAGACACACACTTCAGAGGCACCACATTCGTGCTGCAAAGCACAGATCTTTATTGACACAGAGGCCATCCTTACCCACTGAGACAAGGTTCCTGTAGTTCTCCAGCAACACCTCCCTGTACAGGGACTTCTGTTCGAGGTCCAGCATTCCCCACTCATCCGGGGTAAAACCCAGGGTCACATCTTCAAAGGTCACTGGTTCCTAAAACCCACAGGTGCGTGTTCAGCCAGGGCCTGTTGTCACCCATGCTGACAGGAAGGGGAGGCTGACTGAGCACATGTAGGCACAATCAACAAGGTGACCTGAGCATTCCAGGTGTGTCTCATCATGAGTTCCTGCATTTGTCTGAAACAGCAAACCCAAGCTTGACCCTATCAGGTCACAGCAAGGAAGACAACCCATGAGGCTGGAGAAGGTTTTTCTTTCTCTGAAAACCTCTCCATTTTTTATTGACCTGGGGATTCCAACATCTGTATCATTGTGTATACCTCCTGCTAGGAGATTGTGTGAGCTGAATGATCAAACCCCAGCCTTCAGCCCCCACCCACTGCCCATACTGCTTCTGCTCCCTTCACCTGTCAAGGATTCATCCTCAGCTCTCCTCTCAGGGACTAAGCTCTAATGCCAAAGTACTGTTTAAATATAAGCCTGATCCCTGCTTAGACCTGACAATGCATACCCCCACCCCACCCCCAGTTTAAACGGTAAATTAGTATCCCCCATACTTGTACCTCTATTCTAACCACTACCTTGGGAAGTAACTTGTTATCCCTCCACTCACTAGGGTCTCTTCTTCCCATCCACTCCCCCTCCCCTTCCCGAGATGCTACGGGACCCGGGGGCCTCTCAGGGAAGGTGGTGTGCCACCATCAGCCCGCCACCCCCGCTCCCAAATCCAGGGGTAGACTCAGAAACTCATAAAGAAGCCTCTACTCACACGGAACCAGGCCGTCGGAAGCCCGGTGGCCATACCTTCCTCTTCCTCAACGTGTCTCGTGGGAGTGGGCAGAGTCCTGAGAAGGTCGAATTTGGGAGGTGGAAGGGGCATGAGTGCTACGCCAAGGCCCCCTGCCCCCCTCGGCCCAATCAACGGGAAATGACAAGTCCATTCCCCACCTCGGAAGACGCCCTAAAGGAATGTCTCCACCTGCTCTTGAACACGCAGAGGGACGGTTTCCCACCTTCCTCACCGAGACGGAATCGCCCCCCACGTCTGCCCGCAAGCGCCGGGAGGGGGTAGCCCCGCCCCGCGTCCTCTGGGCCCCGAGTCCCCGACTCCCACTGCCCCTAAAGGCCCCACGGCGGAAGGACGGCAGGCGAGGCTGGCTCTGGGCTGCTACGATTGGTGTAGTAGGGGCCGCGGCTGGGCGCTCCCCGCGGAGCGGCCCTAGAACTGAGCCCCCGACGGGCGCAAATTTCCCGCCGCACTCACCCCGCGCGCGGCGCACAATGGCGCCCGTCGGCCCGCGGTGAAGTGCGTCAGCGCGCCGGCCTGGACTACAACTCCCAGGCATCCCCGCGGCGCGGTGCGTCCCACCTCGCGGGCGGCGGCCATCTTGGCCGGCCAACTCGGGGCGGCAGGCGAAGCCCAGGCGGTGGAGAGCGCCCTTGGCGGTCCCGGTGGGCAGGAGGAGGCCTTGGGAGGGGCAAGTCAGGCCGCTGGGCCCCAGCACCTGGGTGGGCGACGACGCAGGCCGGGAGGGATCCACACCCTGCCACGAGGGCTGCTAACGCATGGGACCGGCCGGAAGTGGAGAAAGGGAAGCTTGGGAGGGGCAGGGCCGGAAGTGCTGAGGGGCGGGGCGAGCTTCTCACACCCAACGTAGGGGGAGGCGAGGCGGGCCGGAAGTGCGGAGGGGCGGGGCTAAAATCTTGCCAAGTTCTGGGAAGAGGGCGGTGCTAAAGGTGCGTCCACGTCTAATGGAGAGGAAAAAGGGGCCGATTGGGAGGGTGGGAAATGTTTTGGAGGCGGGACTGAAATCAGCCAGAGGTCCTGGGAGGAAAAGAGGGACGGGCCTGCCCCAAAGTGTGCAGAGTTTTGAGACTAAATGTCCTCCAGGCCCAGGGAGGGGAGTGGGGGTCAGGACTGTCTACTCAAGTTGTTCGAAGGGCAGGGTTAAGTGGACCCAAGGCACAGGGGTGGGGGCGCGGCTGTTGTCTACGGTAAACCAGAGCTAGACGGAAGTTAAAGCGGTGAAAGTAGATTTTATTCAATAAACTATTGCAACCGGGGAAGGGAGACTCCAGTGTAGAACTGAGATCAGTTCTGAATACAACCAGAATAAGTGGGGATTTATGGCCTAGGATTGGGGGAGTGGGATACTGGTGGATAGAAAATGAAGAAAAGGAGACATCAAGTCTGGGGGGATTCTGGCTGAACCAAGATAATAGGCTTTTTTACTGAAGGCAGGCCCAGGTGATGGGATATCACCTGGGATAGAGAGTGGGGATGAGGAGTTTGATCAGATATCAAGAGTAAGGAATTCGTGATAAACTGACTTAGGATTCTTGCTAAAATGGGATTCTACGAGGAAGTACACGTATGGGGCTTACAGGGGAGAAGGTTCAGGGTAGCCTGTCTGATGTTTGGTTAAGCAAAGAATCAGGGAGTTGGAGTGGGCTGGACAGGATTCTCTGCCCCGTGTCCTCCTCTATGAGCGAGATGCCCATATCTAGGAAACGGGAGAAGGCTTTCGCTGCCCAGCACCTGGTGTGTGCTCTTCTTCCCTGAACCCAGCCCACTCTCATCTTTCTTGGGAGCCCAGGACAAATTATTTTCATGTCTTCCTCAGAGTCCAGTATTTGGTGTCCTTTCATCTTCCTTAGGTTCCAGGGCCCAGGCTCTGATGTCCTGTCTCCTCCTTGGTGCTTGGGGCTATCTTATCCTACTCTGACCCAGGGCTCAGTGTACTCTTTCTCCCCTTCCTTGGGGCTTCCTAGCAGGTTTTAGCAGCCCTGTGCCTCTGTTGGATCATCCTGTCCACTGCATGCTAAACTTGTTCCAGGAGTTGTTAATTTCTATGGCCACTGTGGAGAATATCCACGTGCAGGCTGCACATTGTTCATCTTATTTGTTGCAATTAAGACAGTATATCTGTTGACTTTTGCATATTAGTATTTAGAGACTATGCAGATGTCTTTACTTCTAACAGTATTTCCCTGGATTTTACTTGGCTGTTGTTAAAACAACATCCCATTCATTAAATAGTTTAGGCCTCTTTTCCATACTTTGACTTTAAAAAAATTGATGTTCTATAGCCCTAGGTAGTATGACTGGGCAATTAATTAGCCATATTATTGTTTTGTTTTGGATGTGACTAGAGATGCTTCCAGTGATTCACCTTCAAGTTTGATGGAGGCCTTAACATCTTAAGAAAGAAAGCCTTCTTGGAAGTTCAGTTTTTTCTGTTTGTATGGTATAGAATAAAAACATGATTTTAGGTTAAAAAGTGTTTTTAAGTAAGTATAGTATTTGAGATTGATTCATGAAACCCACTTGAATACAACTTTTAATAATAAATTGCATGTTCTTTTTTCACTTAGCAAATTAAGCATACTATTTAATTTACTGTAATTTGATTACATTAAAAAAACATTTCTGACCAAATGTTAACTATTATGCATGTAAAATGTCAAAAATGTTATGCATCCTGTTTGCATACAGGACCCTAATCCTTTGTTCTAAGCCTTCAGGGCTAGAAGTATTTTAGAATTCATAAGCATTTGGATTTTAGCAATATAGTAAGGTGCATACACTGCACAATATGTAACATCCCAACAGGTCTGGGGCAGCGTCTGGGTATATCTGTATCAAAATATATGAGGAATCCCACTAAGTTAGAGAGAAACAAAGTGTAAATAGCCGTGTTAGTTCAGGTAAATTTTGCAGAGACATAATAGGGGGTAGAAGCTTTTCATTAGAAAACATTTTCGAATTTAGAATTACAGAAAAGGCATTGTGGATCATTTATGAAAATTGCTGGATTAGCAGTAATAATTGTTTCATTCAATTGCAAAGTTTAATTTGCCCTTTTCCTCTCTTAGTATAGTCTGACAAACATGTTTATTGAGATACTGAATTGTTGAAATATATTAACATTCTTTCATATGCTTTTTAAAATCAGTAGTTCACTATTGGTTTAATTTAAACAATATATGACTAAGAATAAGAGATGTAAAACTATATATTGACCAAATCACTATGGTAGCTGGTGGCATTCAATCGACTGAATCATGGACCTACAATTTGATCTCCATTCACCGTTATTATTTCATCCCTCGTAGCATCTCAAAGTGTTCCATGTGAAGGGGAACACTTTAAAAGTCATTAAAAAAACAAGAAAACGAAGAAAGATGTATATTTTTGTCTTTAAAACATGAGCCTCTAGGACACTTCTCAACTCCTCAGAGTTTAAGAACTTCAGGTTAGAGAAGGAGGAATAAATTAATCAGCATTTTACCTGTAAATTATTAGTACCATAACTATTTCCTGAAAATAGGCTTTGGGGTCTATTTATTACTGCTGCACATTTGTTCGTCGCCTGTTCTCCCACGCATCAAGAATAAGTTCAAAATCGTGATAATCCAGACAGGATGTAGCACATGGGGGAAAGGTGAAGAGCCTGAGCTCTGAGCAGAGACAGACCACATACAGCTTCCGGAAAGTGATCTGTTTCAAAAAGGAGTGTAAGAAGTCCACAGAATACTGGACAAACCAGTAAGTTGACTTTGGAATAATCCAGTTCAAAGCTTTGTACCCTGTATCCTATAGGGTGTGTTTAGCTATAAATAACTGAAAATCCAACTACCATAAATAAACACCATTTCCTCACTGAAATGAATGTCTACAAGTAGGAGGTTCCTGGAACTGGTTAAGCTGCCACCAGTGTCATCCAGGACCAGGCTCCTACTTTCCTTCTTGGTATCATCAAGTGTAGGAGTGTCTCATCCTTTGGCCACTAGGATGTAGACAAGGGGTAAGCCAGCAACCGGCTTACTGCTGGTCCTGAATACAACCATTTCAATATTTCTCTCTGCCTTAGGAAATTGACCTTTTCCTCTCTGATGAAAGTTGACCCCCATCTTTCTTCATTCTCTTGTTTATTCACTCCTCTGTTCAATAACCATGGGTTGATATACGCATCCAGAACAGAAGGATATCTGCTTTCAGCAATCTGAAGTTTAAGATTTCTGTATGTCCTTGTTACCACAAAAAAGATAGGAAACAGACGTAAGAGCTGTAACTATTAGAAAAGAAAATATAAAAATGCTTCTATTAATAGATAACATTACGAACTTCCCTGGTGGTCCAGTGGTAAGACACCCTGCTCCCAGTGCGGGGGGCCCAGTTTCGATCCCTGGTCAGGGAACTAGATCCCGCATGCATGCCACAACTAAGACCCAGCGCAGCCTAAATAAATAAATATTTTTAAAAATAGATAACATTAGAATACTTTAAAAATCCAATTGGAGGGCTTCCCTGGTGGCACAGTGGTTGAGAGTCCGCCTGACGATGCAGGGGACACGGGTTCGTGACCCAGTCCGGGAAGGTCCCACATGCCGCGGAGCAGCTGGGCCCGTGAGCCATGGCCGCTGAGCCTGCACGTCCGGAGCGTGTGCTCCGCAACGGGAGAGGCCACAACAGTGAGAGGCCCGCGTACTGC